AAAGCAGGACTGATGGCATGGCTCACGTGGGAGAGTGCCAGTGTAGCAAATGTAAGGCCCTAAGTTCAAACTCCAATACTGGAAGAAAGAAAAAAAATCAAGTGAGAAAAGGGGAGAGAGATATTCCTGGTCTCCTATACTCTAAGGAGCCAGGTAGAAAAAGTAGGGCTAAGCTGGTCAGCTTCTGAACAAAGACACATGTTTGTGGTGTTTGGGGTTGCTTTTTCACTTTTAATTGAACTGTATTATGGTATAACTTACATACAATGAAATTCCTTCACCTAGAATTTCCTTGTGGTTCAAGACAGTCAATTTCCTCCCTGAACATGATGCTGGTATGGTCAGCCACCAAACGCTGTTTTCTCTAGATGTTATATTCATGGGAACATAGAGTGTGGATCTTTCCCCCATTTTGAGGTAAAGCTGTACATAAACTAAAACTATTAAAGGATACAATTTGAGGTGTTTTAACAATTCCCCTTAAAACTGTCCATTTTCCATGGCTGTCTTCCTACCCCTTAATTGATTTGTTTTCTGTCACTACAAATGAGCCTGCCTGTACAACCCAAGAATTGTATCTAGAATCACCGGGAATGTGTTCTATTGTTTGGCTTCGTTCATTCAGCATAATTCTTTTGATTCACCCATGCTGTTAAGTATCAATAGTTCATTCCCTTTTTTTTTTCATTGCATGCAAATATCACAATTTGTCCACTCACTTTTGATGAACACGGCAGTGTCCTACAGTCTGGAGCTCTTATAAGAAGAGGCTGGTTGCTGGTGGCTCACCCCTGTAATCCTAGCTACGCAGGAGGTGCAAAGCCAGCCTGGGCAGGAAAGTCCTGGAGACTCTTATCTCCCAGTTAACTATTACTCCCCTGCTCTCCAAAACAAAAAAGAGGAAGTGGAGCTGTGGGTCAAGTAGTAGAGTGCTAGCCTTGAGCTAAGGGATAGTGCCCAGGATCTGAGTCTAAGCACTGAGTATTGGCACAAAAAAAAAAAAAAAGGCAAGAAAAAAAGAGGAAGGAAGGAAGAAAGGAAGGAAGGAAGGGAGAGAGAAAGCAAGCAGCTGTTTGTAATTCATGGAAAGAGGCTTCAGGAAAAACTAAATCTTTCTATACCCAGGACTTGGATTTCTCAGCTACAGATTCATAGGAAGAACATTTTGTTTTGGTCTTAGCACTAATGTGATTTTCCAAACACCATTTCATAACAATTGTCATAAAACTTTTTTAAGCAGGACTCATTAGTAAGTGCTCATCAGTAAGGACTCATCAGTAAGTGGGGAGAGAATCTAGTAAAAAACAGGGAATTAACTTCAAAATATCTTTCTGCAAGATAGTAGTTTAAAAAGAGGCGGGGGGAGGGTAGGGCAGGGGGAGCCTCAGTCTAGAGCTCTGGGAAACATCACCTTAACCAATTAACATTACCAGTACTGGGGCAAGGCTATGTCATGTGCTCCCTGATGTGAGGCACCAAGGACCTAACTTGTTCTAGTAGCATTTTGACCAGAAAGGCATGCTCTGAATATAGTCAGGAGAAAATATCAGACAAATCTAATGTTAGTGACACTCTACAAAACAACTTGCAAGTACGCTCCAAAAAGGTCAAGGTCATGAAAGACAAAGGAAGGCTGAAGGACTAGCTGCCTTCCCTGATGAAAGGAAACTATAAGACCTAGGAGGACTAAATACAAATGATCCGAATGAAATCCCAAAATAGTTATATAGGACATTATTGGGACAATTAGCAAACCTCAAATGTGTCATAATACCATTATTAAAAATTTGATTTTGATCATTGTACTGAGATTGCACAAGAAAATGTCCTTGTTAGTAGGGTGCTGGTGGCTTGAGATTTGAGGATTGTGGTTCAAAGCCAGCCCGGGGAAGAAAGTCCATGAGACTCTTGTCTCCAATAAACCAATAGAAAACTGGAAGTGGCGCTGTGGCTCAGGTGGTAGAGCGCTAGCCTTGAGCTGAAGAGCTCAGGGACAGTACCCAGGCCCAGGTTAAAGCCCTATGACCAACCAAAAAAAGAAAAAAGAAAATATCCTTGTTCTTAGGAAATACATATCAAAATAATATAACGGGATGAGTATGTCTGAAACTCTAAAATGACTTATAAAAAAGGATATAGACATAGAAACACAATATATGTATGCACAGGACATGCACATATATAGACTATACAAATTTAGCATAGTCTATTGTTATTCTGGTTGAAAAGTATAGAGCCTATGCTAGTGGCTCAAGTCTGTAATCTGTGCTACTCAGGAGGATGAGATGTGGGGATCACCATTCGAAAACCAGTCAAGGCAGGAAAGTCCATGAGATGCTGGTCTCTAATTAACCACCTAGAAGATGTAGTTGTGGCTCAAGTGGTAGAGTGCTAGTGTTGAGTGGAAAAAGCAAAAAGCTTCTAGGGCTTGAGTTCCAGCCCCAGTACCAACACACACACACACAATCAAAAGTTTGACCGAGCAGGCAAGATGAAATACACCTGTCATCCCAGCTGTAGGCCTGTAATCCTAGCTACTTAGGAAGCTGAGATCTGAGGATCATGGTTTAAAGCCAGCCCAGGCAGATTCTTATCTCCAATAAACCACTAGAAAATCCTAAGTGGCGCTGTGGCTCAAGTGGTAAGCATTAGCCTTGAGCTGAAGGGCTGAGGGACAGAGCCCAGGCCCAGAGTTCAAGCCCCCATGACTGACAAAAAAATTAACAAAAAAAACCACACCCAAAACTTAAAAAGGCTGCCTGACAATACTTTCAGAAATTATGTTTCCTGCCGGGTGCCAGTGGCTCATGCCTGTAATCCTAGCTACTCAGGAGGCTGAGATCTGAGAATCGCGGTTCAAAGACAGCCCGGGCAGGAAAGACCATGAGACTCCTATCTCCAGAAAGCCGGAAGTGGCGCTGTAGCTCAAGTAGTAGAGCGCTGGCCTTGAGCTGAAGAGCTAAGGGACAGCGCCCAGGCCCAGAGTTCAAGCCCCATGACCAAAACAAAAACAAAAACACCCCAAAACACTCTCAAAACTGTGTCGGTGCATACACTCACACACACACGAGTCCTGGAGCTTGAACCAGTAGTGCCTGGGTCCTGTCCTGAGCTCTTTTGCTCAAAGCTAGCACTCTACTACTTAAGCCATAACTCCACTTCCTACTTTCTTAGAGGTAGTTTATTGGAGGTAAGAGTCTCATGGACTTTTCTGCCTGAGTTGGCTTCAAACCATGATCCTCAGATCTCAGCCTCCAGAGTAGGTAGGTGTGAGCCACCTGAGCCTAGCCTTAAACTCTACATTCTTTTTCTCGACTGTACTTAACCAAGGGCTAAAACCATTCTGAGCGTTTATTTGACAATAATCTCTCATGTTTATTGTGTGCAAAACCGACCGTGTTCCAAGTGCATTAACAGTGTAACTAACCTCTAGGGGAAGAAAGGCTGGGGGGGCGGGGGGAGGTTGATTTAATTTGCCTAAGACCACGCATTTGGTCTTGTCTCTTCCGGTGGCCAAGAACCTCAATCAAGGCAGAGACTGCCAGATCCACTGTGGCGATTTCTTCTTAAAACGGCTGAGGCGTTCAATCTGTATCTGTAGATTCAAGTCCTAAAGATTGGGCACCTACTAAACACCGTGAGGAACAGCAAAAAAAAAAAAAAACAAAAAAAACAAAAAAAAAACCTTTTTTTTTTTTAATCCACGCCTAAAAGGACACTGAGCACTCCTCTCACACCTAATTTAGCTCATTTATTTGGTCCAATGAACCCCCTCAGTTCCGCCAGGGGAGGAAACTGAAGATTAAGGGCGGATCACTGGGTGGGATGTCAGGGAGTGAGGCTCCCAGGCACCAACAAGGAATCAATCAAACTGACCAATCCGGTCCCCCCCCTCCCGCCGGTGTTTATTAGGCGCCAGCTGGGGTGGGGGTGGGGGTGTTAGTTCACCCGCCGGTCAGGAGGAAGAGGGGCCTGCGGCGGCGGACCGGGGACTCCCGGGATTTTGGCGCCTAATTTTTGTGAGTTGCGAATTCTCGCCGGTGATTGGATCCCCCGGGCGGGTAGCGGCGGCGGCGGCGGCGGCGTCCGGGCGGC